TAAAAGTTTTTGTTTATATAATATGTGTGTGTACTGTGTATATTTATTATGTATATATAAACACACATACATGCATGTATATATTTACGAAAATTTTTATGTTTATATATTAAATATATTTATATATAGTAGGCTATGAATATATACATGTAAATATTTTCAAAATATATATTGTGTATTTGTATATACATAATAAATATACACAGTACACACACATATATTATGTAAACAAAAACTTTTATTTTTTTATTTGATTAATCGCGATTAATCGTTTGACAGCACTAATATGTACAGTGGGTACGGAAAGTATTCAGACCCCCTTAAATTTTTCACTCTTTGTTATATTGCAGCCATTTGCTAAAATCATTTAAGTTAATTTTTTTCCTCAAGTGATTCTGACAAAATTTTATGTGTACTGTATTTGCTCAAGAAGATGCGAAAGAGAAACTCAATTTGGTTTTGATTAATATTTTTTTTTAATTTTGATTAAAATAACTTTAACATTTGAACTAACAAGACACGTAAGAAAGATAAACTTTCTTGAGGAAGCAGCACTGGCCTGATCGTTTAGAAACCTTATTATAGTTTTAAAGGTGCTGTATGTAAGTGTTTGACTCTACTAAAGCATAAAAAATACCATAATATGTTTGCAGATATTTAAGAAACATGCTAAGTTAACATACTTGTTTATCTGAAAAACAATGCCACAGTCAATTATTCTAGTTTGAAAATGTGCGTTACAGGCCAGAATGTCGGTCTCTGTTTTGGTTTGTGAAACCCGCCCACTGCCAGTTTACCCAATTGTATCCCCGGGTTGCCAGTTGGTGGAAAACACAGCGCATTTCATTTCATTCATCGTCAAGTGCGCTCGTTCCTGTTGGTGTCATCAATCTGGCAACCTGCGTGTGCATCAAGTCTGAGGAGGAGGGGCCAGGTGGAAAAAACCCTCTCAAATATTTAGAATTTGGATTGCAACACCTAGTTCAACCACTCGGTGTCAGTCCTACATACAGCACCTTTAAGGGTGCTGAGACGACAGACGGGGGTTAAAGGTGCAATAGGTGATTGTCTTCAGAAACATTTTTTGTTATGCTGGTTGAAAGTCCTGATAGCAATCATTAAGTTAAGTGGTCTAAATGTATTTATATATTCTGTGGAAGGCGTAGGACCAAGAAATGTTCATCCAATCAAAACGCTCGGTCCGAGCATTTTAATTGGCTTTCCTACCTGCCTGTCAACCTATGTATCTGCATACCTCTGCACGAGGACTGGAATTGGGAACCGCTGATGTAGCCTGTTGTAGTAATGTTGTCTCTGGTCTTCTGGTCTGTGAGCGTATGTGCGTTCAGGGGGCGTGGCTTTGGACGGCGATTGCAGGGAGGGTGGGACGTTCGCTTTCAGTGCTATCAGGCTAAAGTTAGCATTTTCCAAGATCTCCTACTGCACCTTTAAAGCCCACCTAAAAGGGATCTAGAACCAACCCTGCTCTACATTTATTACAACATAAAGATGGTATACTTTAAATAAAATTTTATTAATTAAATTAAACTTTTTACTAAGTAGCCTATTATTAATGAAGGCCAGTATCACTGATACCAATTGCTACTGATGTCTCTATTAAATGCATTTTAGCCAATAATTATTGGCATTCAACATTTTAATTAAAAATATAATTTTTTAACATTAAATAGGCTTCGACACAACAACTTAAAACAATGGTAAAGCACCATTCACAAATCAGTTTCAAAATACCGGTAAATTCTGTGACATCATTAATCGGTAATGACCTCTAAACGTTTGTAAACATGGAGGGGTGATTTAACCACCTTGCGTTTCACGGACTTCTCTAATTCATGTTTCTCACATTTTCATTCTCCCACACATACTTGTCTAAATCAGCAGAAATATTTGCATATTTTCTTTCAGTTTCCAGTGTGGGAGTATAACAGTGCTCATTTAGCAAAAACTGCACTAAACTGTGACATTAACGGTTAAAAGTGTTTTTTACGCTACATCTGACATTTAGAGATCCTGCAGTCTATATGTTTTTTTTTCTCCCCCTCTGTTCTGTCATGCTGGTCATTCATCTAATTAAATTACACGGTAGGTGTTTTTTGTTGATGTTTAAATTTTTGTGTCAAACATTCACATTCATGCCTCTTTTGGCCCAGAGACATCGTATTAAGCCGGGCATACAATGTGCGATTTCAGCAACGTTTTTGTTAAATACCAACACTCACTGTACAAGTAAATTGCTTGCAACGTCAATCTCAAAAATAAGATGAAAATCGCAGTGCAAAAAATGACTGAACTATAGGAGAAAAAATGTCGCACAGAGTAAATGCATCAACTGCGTCAGAATGTTATGATTGGCCCAGATTAGACGTCTTATATTTGGTAAACCCACCCCCTGATTGGAGAGTGGCTTTATAATAGAAACTGAAATTTATTTCAAATTGAAAGTAAAGTTTTTGCTATTGACAGCAAATTAATACTTTGTGGGGAAAGTCAACCAGCATCAAAATATAACAAAAAGGAACAGCCGAATATTATTTATAGTGGTAAGGTTTTTTTTTTCCCCTCAATAGTGCCTATTGTTTGAGGTAGGGCCTATAGTTAAAAACAATTCTGTCATCTACAAACAATACAGTTCCACACCTCTCTTTTGTACAAAAAAAATAAAACAAATATATATATATATAAAAACAATGACAGCTGTATGTGATGTGTCTTTATTAAACCAGGCTGATTCATTTGTTCAAATGTATTCAGAAACATACATAACTGAAACCACAACCCTTTAAACTTATGCCAGTCTAAGCATACATAATACATCTTAATTACATATAGATTTTACGTTTGTTTTCAAAGCCCCAAACGGCGACACTTCAACAAGACTTCATTTAATTTATGAATTTATGCTTCATTTATTTTACTTGTTTTAGTGCATGTACACCGATACAAATGAATGACCATTATTTAACGTTATATACAATAAAATAAAACAAAGAATCAGCAGCTGTAGAACCAGATGTGAAACCACCGGCTGTAATTGAATAGGCTACACGCAGTGGTTCCCAAACCTGTCCTGGAGGCCCCTCTGCCCTGCACCTTTTGTATGTCTCCCTTATCTAACACACCTGATTCCACTCATCAGCTCGTTAGTAGGGACTGCAAGAACTACATTGGGTGTGTCTGATTAGGGAGACATACAAAATGTGCAGGGCACGGGGTCCTCCAGGACAGGTTTGGGAACCACTGCGAGCACTTTGGAAGGTGCTATTCCTTTTTATGACCACTAGATAGCCATTACATAAACAGTGTTGAAAAGCTTCGAATAATGAACATTTTCCCCGACACAACTGTGTTGAAAGCTTTGCTGGTTCAGAACGCCTCACTTCGCCTTCACTAGATCGGTTTCGCTGTGTTAATAAAACGATAACAATATTTATACAACGCGCATGATTAAAACTGTGCAAACATTCACAAGAATTATTGTTGACTAAAAGATAAACTAATGTAGTAAACAAAATGTCTTACCATGCATAAGCAAAAGACCCCAAATAAAGGGCTTAATTTTAACCACAGGTTCCATCCAGATAAAGAATTCGTTTC